TTTTGACAACTTGTGTTGTGGTTATTGCAAACATGATGCCTTGTATAAAAGTGTCAATTTTGTACCAGTTTAAAAGGGTAAAAACCTACTACTATGACAGCATTCCATCTCCAGAATACATGACGCATGCGTTAGAAAACTTAGTTCTCAAGTGACAAGAGGATCTACATGAGGGTGCTGGGCTCAAGAACCTTGAGAATAGCCGTTTCATGAATGCCAGCCTGCAGGGCCTCGTGTACACGACGCCGCTGGCAGACTTTCTGCTTTACAGCAATCACTCATTGACCTTTGAGTTATCCCAGATACTTTACATTCAAGACGAGCTACAATCCAGTTTTGTGTCCATTCCCTGGCATTGCGCAGCTGTGTGCGATTTGTTTGTATTTACCCTGTGCGCCACCCCTGCTGCACTGTACAGGCCAACAGACTGAGTTTCGCATGATTTGTCTGTTGGAGAAACATGTCATCAACACTTTCAATCAGAGCACGGCCATTAATGTACAGCGGTAATACCATCTCTGAGTGCGTATGCACTCGTGTTTTCACAGTTGAGCACCTGCAGTGCTTCAGCATCTCAGACACATTGGACACTTGCCTGGACATCTCTCTTAACATCAATGTGAAAAATGGGAAGGCCAAAGCCGGATGTAGATTTTTCCCCCTTATTAATTATATATCATAAGTTGACTGCAGAGCCACTTAAGTCATGGTTTGTGAACTATTCAAAGTAATAATTTGCCATTGTTGTGTTTTTTGACTCGACAGAAATCCCTGTATATGGTGGAAGCTTTTGACGAATTCACGAAGATCGAGAAACTTACAGAATATAGATGTGGAAAGTGAATGCCATCTTCCTTCGCGTACCTTGAAGCGTTATTTTATATTCCCATTTCCAGTGTGTGATTGAACACGCATCTCTGTCGTAAATTAACATGTGTGATGCCGCAGCCACGAAGCCGTTCTGCGGGCGCCCCACCTACGACTTCACCACCGCCAAGCGATGGGGACGACGCGGCTTCCCCCTCACCAACCCCTCGCACAAACACACACACACCGACCCCCATGTAGAGCCTCGCGGGGAAGCCACCTGGTCCACAGGTTTTCACCCAGGAGCCCCCTCGTAGGGGGAACATCCTCCATGGTTTTCCCTGGGACCAGAGAATTGACTAAGGTTTTCCCCAGGCTGAATTGCCCTGCGGCGCCGTGAATTAACGTGGAAATGCACGATCACGACGAGGCTACGCAGCCACCGCGGATACAAACATACCCCGCACATACGGATCGGTGGGCAGGTAGTGAGGGGGGGGGGCGGAGCCACGAACGACGGGGAAAACGGGGTCGTTCCTCTAATTGGTCGGGCGCTTAGTGGCGGGCTCAGATGCGGATGTCGCTGAGGTCAGCGGTCCGAGTGGGGCTGGGGTGCAGGTGAGCGCTCTGATTGCCGGGCGGATCGGGCTCTTTGATGTAGGTAAGGATAAAGGGACGATGGAAAGGGGCAGGAGGGTCTCTTGCTTCTCAAGTCAGCTATCGGGGCAGTTGTCTCTTCAGTCCAGCTATTCGAACGTCCGTGTGACGAATCGAAGTGCTGTGAGGATGGGCACACCGGAGCGTCGAACCGTGAGTAAGAGAGAGAGTTGGTATTTAGCTTAATCGCCAAAGGGGTTGAAGTCCTAACAGACTAAGGTTCAGACCATCGGGAGATAGTTTAATCCTGCCTTGCCGATTCCGACTGATTCCGTGAGAGTGGCTCACAGTCATGCCGATAATAAATCGTTAGTAACTGATCACAGTCTCGGGTGAGCGTGTGGGAAGAGCGTGGTGCTGTGTGTGTGCGCTCGTATGTGTACAGTCGGCGCTTTCACGGGTGCACGCTAGTAATTGATCACAGCCTCGGGTGAACTCTGCGAGTGTGTGTGGAAAACGCGTGGTGCTGTGTGTGTGTGCGCTCGTAACGTGGGTGGTCGGTGCTTCCACGGGTGTACGCTTCGTCTTGCTGCTGCGAACCCCCGCACTGCGTGCGGACTAACACCCCTCGCGAACACCCGACCCACAGCCCTTTAAACCACCCGTAACAAAAACCCCCAATCGGCGACGCGGGCACGAGCAACGTCATTTGCCCTCCAACCCCTGACCCCCCCGTTCAGCGCGTGTGATTGGTGCGCGGGTTTGTGTGAGGGGAGGCGTCGCGTTTGATTGGCGGAGAGGCAACAGGGTGCTTTCAGGCGGCCGTGAGCCAGCGCTGAGCCATGCCCCACAAGCAGGACTCGCGGACTCGCGGGGGTTTGACCCAGGGAGGAGAGCCGGCAGGCGGCAGCCCTTCTCCCGCGAGCGAGGAGCGCAGCAGCAGCTGCTCTCACACGAGTGAGGGATCGGGAGACGGCGGACCCCCTACGGCCGGTGCCCAGCAGGGAGAGGCCTCGGGGGCCAGCGGCCTCAACACATGCTATTGTCGGGCGAACAGGTGCTCACACGTGGGGAAATCCACAAAGAGAGTGAGCCTACACGTGGTGCCCAATGTGCTTATCATTACCATTGAGCGAATCGATTAGTGGTGTGAAAAATCGACAAGGTGAATTTTACTTGCTACACAGAATGCTTATATTCAAATTTGATTGCATTCACCATATTTGTCATTTGGACATTGGCTGTACACCGGTGCAATATAACACATCGGTCCTCATAAAACAGTCTAACATCTAAAACTTGAGCTGCCATCCATGTTCCAACTGCTTCTATATTGAGAAATTATTTTGACGCACCCCACAAGATTTTCCGACTGGGTTTGCGAATCGCGGGAAAATAAATGATTGTAACAAATTTTATTTTATTTTTTGTTCTAAGCACTGGTGTCCCACCAATACGTTCATTTGCTCCCCCCTTCTGCCCCAGCTTAGCCAGCACCCTATTTTCCTCTCTTTTAACGCTTGGCTCACCACTGTCTCCTCCCTCATCCCTCGTAAGAGTTCCTCTTCCCAGAACAACTCAACATGCGGCTGGTCATGTCCAATCAGGTTGTGCACGAGCCGGAACATTATTCGCTCTACTCGGTCATTGTGCACCACAGGACCACCACCAATAGCGATCACTACTTCTCGTACAACAAGGTGACATGCTGCATGACTGCGTGGAAACGCCAACTCACGGTTGCCCCTACCAATGCAAACAAGTATTCTGAGCGGCGATGGGAGAGAGGTTCTCCCTCGAGTTAAAAATGCCAAAAAGAATAAAAAAGCACACTGCTGCACAACCACAGGCTGATGTAAATCCTGAACAATGTGTCCTCTTCTCCCCCCCTACCCCAATATGTGCAGTTACTACTACAGTCAGTAGATACTACTACAGTCAGTAGATACTACTCCAGTCAGTAGATACTACTACAGTCAGTATATACTGCTGTAGAGTCAGTATATACTACTATAGTCAGTGGATACTACTATAGTCAGTAGATACTAGTGTAGTGCCAGATACTACTATAGTCACTAGATACTATAGTCCGTAGATACTACTAGTCAGTAGGTACGACTATAGTCAGATACAACTACAGTCAGCAGATACTACTATAGAGTCAGCAGATACTACTATAGTCAACAGATACTACTATAGTCAGTGGATACTACTATAGTCAGTAGATACGACTGTAGAGCCAGATACTAGTATAGTCAGTTTCTACTATAGTCAGTAGATACTACTATAGTCAGTAGATATTACTATAGTTAGTAGATACTATAGTCAGTAGATACTACTAGAGTCGGTAGATAATACTTTAGTCAGTAGATACTATAGAGTCATTAGATAGTATAGAATCACTAGATGCTACTTTAGAGTCCGTGGGTAATCCTATAAAGTTACTAGATACTACTGACTATTGTATGTAGGGTGTGTAGGATTAAATGCCTTCAAAATAACAATTGGGTGGGGGGGGGTAAAAAGATTTTTGGAGGGGGGGGTCAACAATTTTTGAAAACCTTTTAGATCAACTATTTACCCCCACTTTCGATAACTTTTTGATTCAGGACTTCTGAAAGGCTCTTATAATTTTAACGGACAAATGGATAAACGGAACGCCGGCCTTTCACAATAGCTTAGTATTTGTGTATGTATATGTTGTGTTTTTTAACAGAAGACAAATATATAAATTATACACCTGAAGCAAATATTTGAACGAGTATATCTTGGGCAACTGGACAAAAACATCCGTGTAGAAATGTGAATTGCAGTCAGGTGAGCTGGATACGCTTCAAGAATTAATTTAACACTTTACTGAGGATTACAAAATACACCAATTAGTGCCAGTGGGCATTCATTGAGGCCTTCACATGTTTGTTATGCTGGTCCCCCAGACGGCGCATTGCCAATCAGACAGGGATCATTGCAATTTTTCCAGTTAATATAAATTAGCAAAGCTACCAACACTTCTTTATTTGGTCAGGACAATCAGTTGTTTTACAAAGTCTGTCTCAATGTCTCCACATATGTGATGATTGGCATAATGGCCCTGGTGTTAACGTTCTGGCCACATACTCAACGTATTATATCATCAAAAGAAAGAGCTGCCGCAGTAGTTGTTGGAGCTACCCGAGTAGTATGGCTCCCCGAGTATTGGGCGGGGTTACCAGAGTATTGGCCGTGGCAACCTGTGTATTGTTCGGAGCTACTGGAGTAGTGGATAGAGCTACCATAGTTGGCTGGGTTGGAAGAGTAGGTGATGCTTATGAGAAAACTGTTAATGAACAACCGCACGTGTAAACCAGTCACATGGTTAATGGCGACTCAGGAGAAATGCTGTTTGTAACACACGTGCTGTTGCATTTTACAGAGTGACGGTGCTGTTCTTCACAAGATTGCTATTAACCACAATAAATGTGTCTGCCCTCGATTTGGAGCACCTGCCCACGCCCTTCATTTCGAGTGTGCAACATATTTCAAAGCAAATTCTTAAATGTTGTTTGTATTATTAATGTACATATAAAGTGGTACCCGTCCGGCAAGATCCTCTTCATGGCTCCCACCAAACCGCTGGTGGCACAGCAGATGGAGGCATGTCACAACGTGATGGGCATCTCACAGGAGCACATGGCGGAGATGACGGGTGATTATTATGTTGTGTGTGTGTGGATTGCTTCGATGGTGGTGGCGGTGGTTGGTTGGGATGATAATTACCCAGCTTAAAAAGACACTCCAAGCCTGGGGTTGTCATTCAGACTCTGTCTTCTCGACAGACCTGTTCTTCACCTGAGGACGGCTGCTTGCGTTGTGGCCGAAACGTCGTGAGAATTATTTAATTATGTTTTATTTTTATTATTTTATTACTTCCCTTCTACTTCCCTTCTACGTGACTTTACCGAAAGAACCAAGAAGATGAATCCCTGCACTCACGAAAGCTTTAAATCGAAAATTATTGAGTGGTTCAGAATCGGAAATTTTTTGTCTAGACTGGAGGAATCCGATGAGCTATGAAACTCTTTTCACAGATGTCCAGTAGGGGGGGTCGGCAAGCTGCAACAACATAAAATAAAATATTTTATACATACGTGACTTTACCTAAAGAACCAAAGAGTATGGATTCCTGCAGTCACGAAAGCTTCAAATCAAGATTGCAACAACAAACTTGGGGAGCGGGGTTTTTTGTGGTGGAGGTACCAGTAATGATGGTAATTTTGATGAAGGTTTTCGGAGTGGTGGTCTTTGTGGTAATTGGGGTGTTGGTAATAATGGTGGGTATAGTTGTGCTGGATATAGATCGTGGCTGCTGATACAGGATGTGTATGTAAAATCTACAACTGATGTCATTTGATTATCAGTTTGCATGTTCACCACATGTACGCGTGGTTAATGTCGACTTGATTCCTTGCAAAAGGTTTCTACAGTATTTGGTGTTTCAACATGTTAACACCTGTTCTATTGCCAGAACGGGTAAAACCTATTGTTATTTTGAATACATTGATACTGCCAAAAAAGGTCCCCCAATGTGTCATTTTCCTTGCACGCTTTTCCTTGGCAGGCAGTACCATGGCTTCAAACCGCCAGGCCATCTGGGCGAAGAAGCGGCTCTTCTTCTTGACTCCGCACGTGATGAAGAACGACCTCTGCAGTGAAGCTTGCCCTGCGGCGGCCGTCAAGTGCTTGGTCGTCGATGAAGCCCACAAAGCGATGGGAAACTACTCTTATTGCCAGGTTAGGTCCCATTATCGGAGCTCATCCTTAATGTTGGTTTATACGGCATCGTGAGTAGCTTTTAACTTTTTGATCCCGTGCCTGTGAAAAAAATCTCCTGGAATTTGCTCAGTCTCGTTAGATTTTCGACACTAAGCGGGGATGAGCCTGGATGGTGCTTGGATCGGTGACCATCATGCATTAACGTGGTATTGTAGGTTGCTGTGGGGCTATGTTTTCAGCAGACCAAAATCCGATGTAATTTACAATGCCCCTAACATGCTGTTCGCCTTCAGAAACTCATATTGATCATCATGGTGAAGTACGGTCGTTTCACCTGCATGACGCGTATACAGCGTAGGGAGGTCCTCATTCAGCAGTAGATTGACAAAAAGACTGTACCCTCTGCATGCTAGTTACTACATGAATCCAAATTGTACTGTTGTAAAACTGCCTTTCGCTCGCTTAAAAAAAACGTTATGATTACCTTAGATTTCCCGACTCTGCTGGTTCGTTAACACATGTGCGCTGTACTCGGTGTCCATGGCAGGTGGTGAATCAGCTCGTCGGCTATTCACGCCAGTTCCGCGTCCTTGCTCTGAGCGCGACGCCTGGAAGTGATCGGCAGGTGAGCCTCCCCCACCCCACTGGGACACATGCTTTTGTCGACTGTTGGTTCTGCTCTCACTTGAACACCAGAGGGACTTTCTAACACAATCCTGCAGGTCCCGGTTGAAGGGTACCAGGACAGAGAGGTCGGCCGAGGAGCAGCTGGATGATGAACGCCGTGTCTTGGACAGGGAAATTGATGATGGATGTTGTGCAGATCGCAAATGACTGCAATAGGTGGAAGGTGTTGATTACTAAAGCATCATTACATACGTGCCAGCTCTACTGATTCGATAAGACCATTTTACCACATACTACTTTGGCAAAGTTTATTCTACTTCTTCATAACATAAATACAATTACTGTAGTATTTTTTGCTTTTAAAATATATTTGCAGTAAAACGGTTTAACAATTGGCAGCCTACTGCTTAAATCGGTAGGGTTGCGTCACTGGCGCCCCCACGACCCTGACTAAAGGGACTGATTATGATGGTGATGATGATAGCTGTGAATTGATTGTCTGTTGGTAATGGTCAGTTCTTGCCGATAACCCAGGACACCCCAGCAGTGTTGTTGGTTAACAAGCGGCGCACTGCTGAGACTTACAAAGTCAAAAACCGGCTTATTGCATGATGAGGCTCGTTTATACCTTCCTGTGTTCGGATTAACAACTAGTAGCAGGATTAGTTAAGTAAATTTTCCTTTGTTTTTTTATTAACACAGCGTGTTAATTTAGTTTTATTTGTGATGATGATGATGACTGATGGAATATTTAATGCATTTTTCGGGTGAATAGTGGCTTGCAAATAATTGCCACTCGTAATTCCAACCATCCAATTCCGCCGTTATCTCTTTGCGGTGCCGCAGTCTGTTCAGCAGGTTCTAAACAACCTCTTGATCTCGCGTGTGGAGCTGCGCTCTGAGGACTCCCCCGACATCCTGCCCTACTCGCACGAACGCGTCGTCGAGAAGATCGTGGTGGAGCCGGACGAGGAGCTGTCGGCCATCAGGGTGCAGTATCTCAAGGTACAGCCCCCACGATCGTGCCTCTAATGCAGTATTCTTCAATGTAAGGCCCCCTTGAATTTTCTGTAGGGGAGAATACGTCGATGGGAGTAGAGTGAGTTGAGTAGGGAGAGATGGGCCGGGGGCTCCTGAAGATGGTGAGTGCGATCTTGAAATGGATTCAGGATTGGAGTTGGGACCCAGTGGAAGGATCAGTGCACTGAAGGGATGTGGTTTCGTTTATGGGTGTAGGTGAAGTTTCTGGCAACCACATTTTGCAAACAAATCCAGACAGATCCTCGTATTTCACACACATCCTAACTCTTCTTTTCCCCCTTTCGGGCACAATGATGTCCTCCAGAAAAACGTACTCATGAGACATAGAATTAAGACGCTGCATTTCGTTCACGTTTACGTACATTTATTTCTCTCGCAGTCGGAGGATCACATTTAAATACATCAAACGTACGCATACTGGCCAAGCAAAACAATCGAGAGCCAGGGAACTACAAGATGCCCAGTGTGATGGCGACGCTAGGTAGATGCATCTGATGTGGAGACGCGTCTGGTGATGTCGACATGCCTAAAACCGGATCTCGTGTATGTGTCATGTGAGTCGTACACATAGTGTGAAAACCCAAGCTACTGTCAGTTTTATTGTCTCAATATCGTGATAGATGGGGCACCCATATGTGCTGCACATTAAACTCGCAGAGATACAAAACCGGGTGCCCCGTTGACGGATTCAAGGCACTGATTCTGTGCCTGTGGTGCTGTTTTATTCACTGCCATAGTGGACGACATTTGCGCTAGTTCCCGACTTGAGCGGTAAAATCTGACACGCTCTTCTTGTTTTACATACATTCAAAAAGACGACATTGTTGCCGTTGTCGCACTCGCCGGAATGAACGCTATTGTCGCGGAGCTCGTCATCACCAACACCACCATGATTTCCACCACCACCATCGTCACCACCTTCACCATTGCGATTTCTTTCAAACTCTGCAACATTTCTGTTTTTGTCGGCAAAATCAATGTCGTCACCATCACCACCGTCAACATCATTGCCACGAACATTGACGCCGTCTTCTTCATCACCACTTCTGCCATCATCATCATCATCACCGTCACCATCAACAACATCGCATATTCCTTGGAACTTGAACGGCCGAACGACACGTCTCCCGAATCCGTCTTCTTCCAATGGGGCCTCCTTGGCTCGTTCCAAAGGCGGAGGAGACTGCAGCGAGCCTCCACGAGCCAAACGGACACCTCCCTTCACCACGGGAGCCCCTTTCAAGGCGCCTGTTGTGTGCACGTGCGCTCGAGTCGCAACGCTGTGGTCCGCCGCTAAATCCTCTTGCTCCAGGATCTCAACCACGGGCGACAGAGGCTTTGGAGAGCCCACCCAGAATCGGACCGCCCTGGGAGACGCGTCGGAGCGAGAGTTCTCCAAACACCTGGCCATGGCGTCGTTGTTGTTGTTGTTGTTGCTCGCGGAAAGTAATTTAAAAGTTCGTGAATTAAATCACTAAACGACAAGCCTCTTTTTCACGGACTTAAGTCAATGCTTGTGAATCCAAATGTAATGGGATACGCATGAACGGTCGTTATTAAGCTGTACTACTGAAGTATGGGACATATAACAGTCTGTGCTAATAAGTAAGAAAAATAAATAATCTGTATCTTGTTTTTGAATCCCGAAACATTTTTGATCGGAGATTGAATTGGGTTAGCTACATTTCAACAGGGCCAGCCTGAAGCACTGCATTAATTTAAACACCGCGATAAATACTTGAAAAAAAGACATTGAGCCGCGACATTCTCTTCCCTCGATGTGTGGCACTGAAGCAGGCAAAGCCCTCACCTCTGTAGATGTTATGAACATTCGAGATTTTACCGTCTCAGATTCTCAAACCCCGCCCATTGATCCTCTCCAGTCAAAATGGGACGTAATTGGTAACATCGCACTTTAATTCACATTGATATCACTGCACATGAAGCAAGTGTTGTGACTCGTATCTGCAAGAATTGGCCACAAATCGAGGCAGGTGAGCTCATTAAACCTCAACGAGTAATTAAATACGTTCTGTGAAGATTAGAAAATACACTAATTAGAGCAAAGTGGACAAGCACTGATGCCATCACGTGCCTGTTATCCCAGAGCTTGAGCAGGTGTGTTGCCATCAGACATCGTTGATTGATGATCGTGTCACAAGTGCAGAACAATTTAAATTGTCTTTAAACGGGGAGTATATTAATAAAAGTGGAATTTTGGAAAACCTGTAATAGAAAGTAAGGTGTACTCCCTGCCAGGATGGAATTCTTGCTCGAGTTGATTCTGGTGTTTAATGGCAAGTGAAGCCTAACGCATACAGTGGGCTGTGTGATGTTACACGTGTAATGCAGGCATGCAATAGCTCTGTTAATTAACACCAAGGAAAGCTATTTGAGCAACAAATGCAGTTAGTTGTGTGTCGTCGGCGTAGTCGGGAGTCTGTGACGTCACGTGACACTCGTAGTAAGGTGTCATTGTAACGTCACTGCAGTCTGGTTGTGACGTCACATCCTGTCGGTGATGCGTGGAGTGATTTCTCACAGTTGCTCTACGGATACCTTGGAAAGCAGACGTGTCTTCACTTGCTCTCTGGCGTTCGCAAGATAACATTTTAGGAAAAGTTTAGGTGCTCTGGCACATTGGAGGCATGGCCATCATGAAGAGAGGTGTAAGGAAATTTTTCGGAAAGTTTTTCAAAAGAATATGCTGCTGCTGTTGCCGAAGCAGTTCTGATGATGAGGATAGCTCTGCTAGGACCTCACCGGACACTCCTCTTCCGAGTCTGGTGGGCGGCCGTTGCAGCTCCAGAGAGAGCGTTTTTCAGAGCTGCAATTCCAATTTAACGTCAACGAGTGAGGAGGCATCAATCGATGGACACAAGGAAAATGATCTGACTAAGGTAAGGGCAGTAAGAGCTGCAGAGAGTGAGATAAATCATAGCGGGTGACTGGGCACATCTAACAGAGTCTGTGCTAATAACTTTTTTTTTTGGAGAGCGAAACATATCAGTTCAGAGGTTGATTTGGTTTACCTATATATGGACAGGGTAAGCCTGAAGCACTACATTAATTTAAAACTCGTACTAACTACCTAAAACACGACGTTGAGCCAAGTGATAATCTTCTCAGAGTGTGACCCGAAAGCCGACATAAAGCAGGCTCACGTTGTTGAAAGTGATAATGTTCCCACAGAGTGTGACCCGAAAGCCGACATAAAGCAGGCTCACGTTGTTGAAAGTGATAATGTTCCCACAGAGTGTGACCCGAAAGCCGACATAAAGCAGGCTCACGTTGTTGAAAGTGATAATGTTCCCACAGAGTGTGACCCTAAAGCCGACATAAAGCAGGCTCGCGTTGCAGTCGAAACGTCGTGAAAATTTTGTTTGTTTGATATTTGTATAATTTTATTATTTCTCTTCTACGTGACTTTACCGAAAGAACCAAGAATATGAATCCCTGCAGTCACGAAAGCTTTAAATCAAAATTCAGGCTCACGTTGTTGAAAGTTTCAACAACAGTTTGAGTCAAGAAGTGAGGATAAAAAAGGCAGCCCTCTTTCGAGTCTTTGGAAAGCTGCAACACCAGTTTAAAGTCATGATGTATGTTGAACTTCTTTCGCACCGTGCCTAGGCAAACGTGCTGCTCGGAGGTGCGTGGAAGATTGGTGAGGAGACATCATCTGATGAAAGCATTGCAGATGATAGGACTCAGGTAAGAGAGGCTGTAGGAGCAGCAAAGAGGGAGGATAAATCACAGCAGGTGATTTGGCAAAATGTAATTATCATTAATGCTTTCGCGACCATAATCATCCATGATACCGTTTTTTCCCTTATTTTTTCCTCTTTTTTATTTTGAGTTAAATGGCATAAATATATAAATGTGTCGTTAAACCCGCCACCACCCGACACAGCCAATTAGTAAGGGTTGTTACATAAACAGAACATGCCAATTAGTAACTAGTACAGCACACCGGTGCGTTGGAGAGCCAAGCCACAACATTTACAATCTGAGTATCACGTTTGTGGTGACAACACGAGAGCACACAAGTGTTGTCACCACATCTACGCCTCTATTTAACGAACAAAACAGGTGGATTTCTCCACAGATCTGACTGTCGCCTTATGAAGCTCGTTGTAATTACTGGCGAAACGTCGTATTCAGATTGTAAATGTTGTGGCCTTGCTCTCCAACACACCGGTGTGCTGTACTAGTGACGAATTGGCCACGTTCTGTTTACATGACAAACCTTACTCGTTGGCAGTGTTGGGTGGTGGCTGGTTTAACGACACATTAATATATTTACGCGAACTAACAAGAAAAAAAACCTGTATTATAGATCAGTATTGATAAAATGTAGGTATAAATTTATTTAAGTTTACGTTGCAACACTTGCAAAGAAGACCAGTCGACACGTAAAGGTGCAGCCTTGAACTAGTCTGCTCATACGATTGCTCGCGGTTGGGTTTGCACGAGAGGAAACTCTCACCTATCTACGCCCACCAAACACCTTGGAAAATGTGGGAGCACCCACACCTGATCCCACAACACACATGGCTTGTCCATCGACTAACTGTGGTCTCCCCATTTTTACTGCTTGGTGAATAAAGGTGGGAAGGATGTATTTCTACTGACATGCCAGGAAATTGAAGCACCAAATTCCGTATGACAACACCAGATTGCTAACCGTTACATGAATAGAGTAAAAAAAAATTATTTCCAATTTCACGCACTGCAAGGATGGGGAGGGTGTATGAAGGGATGTATTCCCGTGTGGGTATGTGTGTTCATATGGGTCTGTATTTGCGCTCGAGTGATATCACGTGCATCTTTTTAACGTAACATCTTCAGAATATCACAATGTGAATTTAGACATGGAGTATGTTTTTGTCCAACTTCTTTGGACACAAGGATAGACCCTAGGAATCTGAAAACAAAGCAGAGTCTCCATTATTAGATTGGCTTGCCATGTTGTTTAATATTTAGCAACATTGTTCGAAATACGAATCTGCACTTAGCAATTTGAGTAATGCTGCAGTGTAGTGGCGATGCGTATGCATGACTTAAGGCTGCTTTTACCGTTACCGTAGGAGAAGAAGACCAAAAGTGTTCAATGGGCAGAAAGGGACACCATCTCCATTATCGTCGTCAAGGATGAGGCATCCACATCGACCCCCATGGTGTCAACAGCAAATGACAAGGGGCTGAGGATCCAATACATCACCGTTCCATCCGCCGTGTCTTACGTCAGCAAGGCTGGGCTGAACAAACCTAACGCGAGAGGTAAGTGTGTGCCAGCGTGACCCTGTTCCTCTGATTAGTATGGTTGGCTACGCACGGTGTGAAAGAAGTTCAACGTGCACACATACGTACACTTTGATATCTCGTCAGTGGCTGTCTCGCCATTGCTGTCAATGTAAAACTTACAGGCTGAAGATGCTCTTCAGGCAATTCTGATTACTAGTGCTGAACACTTCAAAGACATTAATACATTTGCATCTCGCCAGCTGGTGAAGAGGATTGTCTACCTAACAGCACCACAAAAAAATATGCCCGCACGCGTACAGGCTAAGACACGCAATTTTCAAACCATTCCCCTCAGATGTTCTGTGAGTGTCAAGTATGTGTTTCCATCTTGTAATGTGTGCAGACGAGGACAGCATTCCATCTTCAGAATTCATCACATCTGCGACAGACACCTCGGTTCTCAAGTGGCAGGAGGATCTACATGAGGGTGCTGGGCTTAAGAACCTCGGAAATACGTGTTTCGTGAATGCCAGCCTGCAGGGCCTCACATACACGGCGCCGCTGGCAAACTTTTTGCTTTACGGCGATCACTCATGGAACTGTGAGTTCTCCCAGATATTTTACATTCGAGACGAGCTACAATCGCGTTTTGTGTAGATTACCTGACTGTGCGCAGCTGGGCTATGTGTGCGATTGGTTTGCATTGTCACTGTGTGCCACCCCTGCCCCACTTCACAGGCAAACAGACTGAGTTTTGCATGATGTGTCTGTTGGAGAAACACGTCTTCAACGCCTTCATGAATCGGGGCACGGCCATCAATCCCATCGAGATAGTTCGCAATTTCAAACGTAAGTTCCAGCACAATTCCCAAGTGTCTTTGACGTTGAAACTTCTGTCATCTCAAGATCCCCTGAAAGGGCAGTTTGAATCAGTTTTTGTATACAATATCGAATAGAAAATTACTAGTTTTGGTCAGCACTGAGATTACAACTCCAATGCATCGGATGTTCTTCCGGTCTAGCATTCCTCTGTTGATGCTCGTTCTAAACATTGCCAGCCACACCCAGTTCTGTGATTAACCCACAAATCTGTCAATATGCTCTTCCTTTTCTTGAAAAGGTTTACGTGAAAATATCTGTTAAAGTCATATGCACCAGATTCCACAATATTTCTCAAGAATCTGGAGCCGGTTTAGTTGCTGAGGGACTTCATAAGCTATATCCTAACTGTGCCAGCAACTGTGTGACCACATCATGTGTGACCTCTGTCCATTTTCACACAGACATCGGCGAGGACCTGTGTTTTGGCAGGCAGGAGGATGCACATGTGTTTCTGGGTTACGTGATAGATGCTCTGCACCAATCCTGCCTCTTCAACCAAAGGCAGTAAGTAATGCATGCCCCAGCAAACTCCATAAATATTTGCACAATACCAGCACATGGATGCCTGGGTTGTTCAGAAAAAATATTTGTCCGTAGGACAACCAGGCTAGAGTCTACATTTTAGACTGCCAGTACACTCACCAAGGTTAAGAACCAGGCTACAGTCTACACTATAGACTGCCAGTACACTCACTCTGATTAAGAACCAGGCTGCTGTCTACATTAGTGTGTTTTTGTAGTTTTATTATTATTTTAATTTTATTTGATATTTTATTATTCATATTTGTATTCACTTTATTTTAATGAAAAATGTTTCTATCTACGTTACTTTACAGAAAGAACCAAAAAATATGATTTCCTGCAGTCACGAAAGTTTTAAGTCAAAATTTAGGACAACCACTATTGACTGCCCCACAACGGGGTACCCAGTACATTGACCTCAGACGGATGATGAGTAAACCCCCAATCATCATGATTTGAACTGGTAACTTTCCGTTTGTGAGATGCTCACATTATCGCTCAGCCAACTGGATGAATTCTTTATGTTATTTGGAGACTGTGACTTACACTTTTATCATTAAATTATTTTGATTTTACCAGGTGAGGCCCACTGAGCTAGATAGCTCTTTTACAGGAGCGACTTGGCCATATATGATAGCTCAACGAAGTGACTTATCACGTGAAATTTTTATAAACCAAATACTCTAAGCGCATGTTTTTTTTAAATGTGGAGGGGAAAATCGGTGGGCTCGTATACAAAAAAATCCACGCGACCACAGGGAGTAAATGCAAACTGCAAATTTACAGGCGTCAGGATTGGGATCAAACCCATGACCTGTATACCAGGTGAGGTAGTTACGATATTGCCACTGCAGCGAGTTAATACTAGGAGCGAAAAATACGTAACTCTTCCGAGTGTTCATCTGGTAAAGACATTGCCTCTGTAGTTACCGTGTGGTGTCATTGCGCGTTGTGTTTTCAGGCTCGGTATTAACATGGAGACCCCTACATTGATCCACCAGATCTTCAGGGGGTACCTGAAATCGAGAGGCAAGTACTGTGCTCCTTTCTAAACATCAACCCTTTAAGGAGTGATTTCAACCAATGTCACAATCCATACTGGGCTATGCAAACTCTCGCAATCAACCTTATATTCTCTGTTAAACAACGAGCACATATGTAGATGTAAAAACACGTACACAAGGACATAAGCATACATGCACAAAATATGCATTCCCTTTCCAGTTTCTCTTTCATTGTTTACAAGTTATATAATTGATATTCTTAGGTTTTTTCGGTAAAGTCACGTAGGTAAAAAAATTAAAATTAATGAAAGTAACTTGATACAGCAATCATTCTGTGACGGTTCCACCTGAAGACGGAAGCTTGTGTTGCCTCCGAAACGTCGTGATTTTTATTTTACTTTTATTAATTACATTTTTTTACCTACGTGACTTTACCGAAAAAACCTAAGAATATGAATCCTTGCAGTCACGAAAGCTTCAAATCTAGAATTATATAATTGACTCTACTCCCTTTCCCGTGTAGTTATCTTGGTTAAAGGGTGTTATATCAACTATACGAACAACTGGATTGTGCTAATAGTGATTTCTTCGACCACGCTTTAACGAGGCTACCCAACGTGCAATCTGCCAACATTTTAAACTTTAACATTGGACACAAATTAGTTGATGTCATCATACACATGTTGACAATATAGATCCTCAGGTCCTCAAGGTAAAAGGGGCGGAGCCAATTTCTTTCCGCCATTTTGGACAGTGAGGGCGGAGCCATCGTGCCGGTGGCAGTGAGCGGTGTTTTGTAGTTTCCGTTAATTAATCGTCATGGAAACGTTGTATTATTACCAGACAATCCTGAGTGTGATCATCGTTGACTACACAAGTTAGTAAGACGCCGAATATGGAACTAGATTGCACGTGTTTATTATGTGTGCCACTTTAAAAAGTGTTCATCAGGAAAAAAATTGAAATGTAATTGCTCATCAGGCCCCATGGTGTACAGTGCAGTCTCCAACTCGTATCAACCCTATCTTTCTGTTTCTGTGCTATGAATAAGGATCACTTCTGAAAACGTCACCAATTGCATGTGTTTCCTTGTAAGGCAGTGCTATTGACAAATGTGTTGATTACCTGTGATTTGTGCTAGGGCACCACTGCCAACACAGTATCAACAATAAGTTCATATTTCGATGTAAAGCTTTCGTGACTGCAGGGATTCATCTTCTTGGTTCTTTCGGTAAAGTTACGTGACTTTACCGAAAGAACAAAGAAGATGAATAAGTTCATAACGTTTTTGGTGTTTAATAACCGTTACAGTTTTCATCAAATATATTTTTATTTAACAAATATAGTTGCATCTGGGTTGGTGGTATCTGAAGATGTTCATGATATTAGCCAGTTAACATGTGAATACTTTTGATGAGGATTATGCAATATGCAGTAGTAATATTAATCTCCAATATGTGTGCACTTGTGTTTTCACAGTTGAGTGCATGCAGTGCTTCAGCATCTCAGACACGTTGGACGCCTGCCTGGACATCTCTCTTAATATCAACGTAAGAATTGGGAAGGCTACAGCCTGATGTCGATTGTTTTTGTCATTCATTATATTTATGTACCACAACCAGTTGACAGCAGAGCCACTTATGCCATTTATTGTGAAAATTCCGTCAGTTCCTGTGATCACTGTTTCATTGGTTTCATGGCTTTATTTTGGTGATTTCGAAAAGTGTATTGGTTTAGCCATGTTTGTTTGTTGTAGTACAGAGTTAGACTGAGGGCCTTAATCTAAGTTGTCTTGTGGTTGTTGTTGGTTGTTTGACTTGCATCCCACTGGGATTTTTGCACACAGCGTTGGTGTACGGTGTTTTTTTCCTGCAATATTTTGCTGTCTTTTCTTGGATTGTCTGTTTGCACTTAGTACATATTCATTTTAAGATGTTTTTTTTGTTCATGTTTTTGTTTTTTGTTTGTTGCGGTTGCACCCGATTCAAGAGCCGAATTGCTCACAGGGCTATACCTAATAAATGAACTTGAACTTAACTTAGCTCATGGTTTATTAATTTCTATTCAAAGTAATAATTTGCCATTTTTGTGTCATTGACAGAAATCCCTAGATCTGGTGATGGCTTTTCATGAATTCACAAAGACCGAGACTCTTGCAGAATACAGATGTGGAATGTGAGTATGCAATCTTCCATCGTGCACCTTGAAACGTTCGTGTATATCCCCATTTATACAGTGTGTGATCAAACACGCATCTCGGTCGTAAACTAACGTGCTATTGTCTGGCGAACAGGTGCTCGTGCGTGGGGAAATCTACAAAGAGAGTGAGCCTAAACGTGGTGCCCAATGTGCTTATCATCACCATTAAGCGATACGATGAGTTTGGCGACAAAATCGACAAGGTGAATTTTACTTTCTGCGCAGAATGCATCTGATATTCAAATATATTTGTATTCAACGTTTTGTCATTTGGACGTATTGGCAGTACACCGGTAAAGCATGACACACCGGTCCTCATTAAACAGTATAAAATCTAAATGTGAACTGACACTCATCTTCCGACTGCTTTGAGATCACGAGAAATTATTTTGACGCACCCCACAATATTTTCTGAAATGGGTTGCGAATCGCAGGAAAATATATAATTATTGTGAAAAATGTGCTTTTTTTATCCGGTGCACCAGTGTACCGCCAATACGTTCATTTGCTCCCCTCTTCTGCCCCTGCTTAGCTAGCACCATATTTTCCTCTCTTTTAATGCTTGGCCCACCACTGTCTCCTCCCTCATCCCTTGTAGGATTTCCTCTTCACTGAAGAACTCGACATACGGCCGTTCATGTCCAATCAGGTTGTGCACGAGCCAGAACTGTATTCGCTCTACTCAGTGATTGTGCACCACGGGACCACCACCAATAGCGGCCACTACTACTCCTACAACAAGGTGATGTTGTGCATGATAAACAAAAAAACAAATATCCCCCAAAGAGCCTTACTCGACTGTTGGTGCAAGTGCTGTTCATGAGCACCTGTCAAAGCCAGAACAACACAGGAAGGGGGTGGGTGGCCAGCACCACGCCCGGCCGCCTTTGTCCCCTGAGTGGTAATGTTTACATATTGCACCATATACTCATTTGAGGCTGAGTGGACCGAGGGAACGAGGCTCAGGACCGGTTGAGATAATCGTCACTGCTGTTAGTCTTAAGCGGGAATCGACCTCTGGTTGCCGGGTTCGTAGTGCAATGTGCTAACCGCTACGCTACTGTTCCCCACTATGATCATACATACACACACACAAAGCATATGAGTACACGTGTTAACTTCCATATAACATTCCGCTTTCATGATCTGTCACTATGGCTGACTTTTAAATTAGTCTGGTACAATTGGGTATTGATCGTAATTTAACAAGTGTGGATGTATTTTTTCTTCAGGTCAGCAATGGCAGCTGGTTCAGAATGGACGATACTGACGTGATGCCAGTCACCAATGCAGAAGTTTTTGAAGACCAGGCCTACATCCTCTTCTATACGAAGTAAGTTGTACTCATGATGTATTTTCAGAAACCATAAAACCTCGATCTATTTACCCTAAGTCAAACAGTGTTATCTGACAGTGTTGTGTACACTCTTACTCGGGCCACAATTATATTTTGAAGGTGGTTACCACGTGAGTTAGCAGCCATTTTCGGTGCAATTTATTTTTCTAGGTAGTTTCAATGACAGGCAGTTTTCTGTGGTGCCCTGTTGGCCAGTGGAATAAATTTGATGGTGATGATGTGTGCTATGTGTAGGTCACCAGAGCAGAATGCCATCCCAGTGGACATCGAGGACCCACAGTCTTCAAACTGGGTGGCATCAGGGACACAAGGAGAGCTCACAAGTGCTCAGACTACACAAGGAAGGACACTCAAGGAAGAAAGGACACAACCCGGAGACACACTGCACACAGACACACGCCCACCTAAGAAGACACGTTGGAGACTTAGAAATTTAGCCTGATATCAGATGCTCCCTCCTTACAGGCAATCCCCGGATTATGGAAGCGTTAGGTTCTCAACAATTTCCCCCCAAAATCCAGATAAAATCCCATAGCCAGATATAGTTGTGCCTCCCGTACTGTTTTCTCTCATTACTGTATCGCGTTGTGATACGTTGTGTATCACTGCCTGTAGCATATGTCTGTATATACGCTCTGCACTTCCTACGATTACACTGGTCAACACACTTTTTCTGGCATAAGGTATTCCAACGGTTTTAAGTTCTTGTCTATCACATCAGGTTTTTGAGATATTAAATATTGCATTTTCAATAAAAACTGCATAAGAAAAATATTAAATAAATGTGGATATCTACATAAAATTATATTATAAAACACACTATCCTAAAAATACAGCACCATATTTTAACACTAAAGCAGTCCCTGACTCGCAACAACTTGAAATCATAAGTGACAAGAGTTAATTTTGGGTAAAATCAATGAAAATGGGGTATGCTTTGCTCTATCACATCTCATGTGATAGAGCAAATCTGAGATCAGATTTGGAATCAGCACCCTGAAATTAGTCCAGGCCACAATTTTTTTTTTTGTTGACCAGTGTTATTTTATTTAATCGAATATCTACCCTAACACTACCCATAATTAAACTAATGGAACATATACTGTATCCAAATGTTTATTAATACCATTAAACATTTTAACATTAATTGTTAACAGAAAGCATTCACTTACAAATGTTCATTCACAGTGTATTTAGTTTTCATCCCTATAATCCGGGGACTGCCTGTACTTAGTTTTCATCCCTAACCCACCTAGTGAGCCATAATGGTCTAGGTTTCTCAGAAGGAAGGAAATATATAAACATCTGATATGATGGGATAACTTTTACAAACATTTGTTTAGATTATTTAGATTATTTTGCTGTAAAAATTTCTGTAAGATAAACCAGTTTATTAAGCTATCATTTGTTGCCAAGTTGCTCCTGAATGAGAAGCTCATAGCTCAGTGGCTTTACCTGATAAGATAAAA